AATGTCGATTCCAAATCTTGGTTATTGATCTCTTTAATTGGTAATAATCAGTAATGGTGTCAGCCCTGAATCAAAAAACATCAGTTGGTCAGTAAACGGTAGCATAAAGCTCCGAGTATATCTGAGCCTCAGTATTTCAAACATTACAGTCTTTTGTCCCACTCGTGTGCAGGATCTAAGAAGAGCAAATTGTTTTTTTTTGTGTGTCTTGTACCGTGTAGTGCAAAGAGAATTATAACCTCGTGGGATGTCTGGCTTGACTTGTTTTTGTGTATTTAAAACAGCACTGGATAGAATGTCGAATAAGAAAAGAATTAGACATTTTATTGTGTCTTGTCTATCAGGGTTGCTGTAGATTGTGTCAGATGCTGATTTTCTTTTCTTTTTTTTTTAAAGATGTTTGGGGTAAGAATGACCTTAATTTGAACCTAGTATTGAACACAGAGTTCTGTTACCGCTTTTAGCACCGTTCAGTCCTGGTAACACATTTATTTATTTATTTGTTTGTTTGTTTGTTTGTTTGTAATTTAATTTTTGTGATTTAACATTAAGGTCCACAGCCTGTCAGACTGAAAGTTTTGTTGTCTTTTTTTTTTTTTTTTCTCAGTTTATTCAAATAGTATAAAGCTACAAAGGACACTTTAACACAAAACAGTTGTTGCTCTTAACTTTTTTTTTGTCAGATATAGTACTCTTCAGGATGTGATGAACAAAAGCATAGTTAATATTTTATACCTAATATCTGTTATTTGATATGCCCTGTGCATTATAGTCATTTTAGCTGACTATTAAATTGATCAGAGTGTAATGTAGCTCCATGTTTGGCATGGTAAATCACTAAGCAGACACTGGTGGTGCTTGGTTTCAAGCTATATTGTTCAGACCTATTTGTTGCATGGCACATTGGGCCTCAATTGGAATTCTGTTGCACTGAATAAGTCAGTGGTCCCACAGAGGGACAGTTGTACGGCTCGGCCTGTAATACAATATGAAAGATATTGCACTTGCACAGAAGCTTTCAGTAATAAAGCTCCCCACCTAACCCTGATAAAATAATAAAACTGGTCTATAGACTGAAATCAATGCACACACAAGCCATCTAAACACGAGACCAGTGATCAGTCAAACAGAAAGACTGAGACAGTGTCTGCCTCGTGCTGTGTTCGCCGCCGCCGAGTCACTTACTGCGATTGGTGATGCAGAGTAATCTTTTCATCATGTTCTAACATTTCCCTTGCCAAGTGTTTGTAGAACCCTACACACACCTTTTACCTTCTTTTCCACACTTTCTGCTATGATAGCTTGTCCTCTATTTTAGGAATATACAATACTATAAGCATTGTAACTGCTTGTATTCCCTTGAACTCGACCACTCTGCTTTCTCTGATATCACAGTTTGGTGACCACAATGACTTTCCAACTTGTTTAGTTTGTGGCTTTTGTCTTAGTGAAGTGAGTTATTTCAAGACTGAATGACGGAGGTGGAGGTGATTCATTGTTCGTCATAGTTTTTATTTACAGCAGGCTCACTATTGTAATTCATCAACACCTATATTGGCAAATAGTCTGCACTTATATCTCGCTTTTCTACCTTAGCGGCACTCGAAGCGCTTTACAATGTTTTCTCATTCACACGGGGGATTGAATTGCCAACCTTATGATCAGAGGACAAGCGCTCTACCACCTGAACCACAGCCGCCCTTGTTGCACACATGGTAATATACGTGTGTTATTTACCTTATAGCAAGGAGGTTTCTCCCTCTCAGTCCATCTACATGTGTTTGTCCTGCAATGAACTGTGACCTTTCCAGAGTTCATCCTTCGTCTTTTGAAATGCATTCTGGGATGGGCTCCAGACCCTTGTGACAGTGAACAAGATAAGCAGTACAGAAATTGAATTGACGTATGGATTGATGTAGCATTTCTTCATGCATAACTACATTTGTTATGGCACCACATGTGAGAAAGCCAGTAATGTCTTTTGCTCTTTTGGGGGAAACAAATGCTATTTGACAGGAAGACATATGATCGTCTCACTGCAAAACATTTTGACTCCTGCCGTAATAAGTTAACAGCGACGTTGAGAAAAGTCCACAGCATAATAGACTTTTGATGAGGCTGAAATGTTGTTTATGGAGCACACATCTCTCTAGTAAGCATCTTGTTTATGTGTGAAGGCATGTTTCTGGAATAAACTGTGAGATTTTTCAATGCATACATTTTATAGCAGTAAACTTAGCAACGGCATAATTGCGTCAAGCCAGCAGAAATAACACAAAATATAAAATAAGAAATTGCTTCCCTAAGACCGACCATGAATTTTTCATTTTGCCTGCGGAATATACATGATTGCAGAAAGTAACACAATTTGGTGGCACTTAACTAGAGGATTATAGCCATCAATATTAGATGAACAAGTTCTCTCCCAAGTTAATGAAATCCTTGGATGTATGCCCACATTAGGAGAAGAGACTGATAAAGGAAGGATTTGATCCCTTGTTCCTTTGATGTTATAGTACCTTATATTTGACCAAAATGTACATCCACAATACAAGCTTCCTGTGTAACCTCCTGTAAAGAAATGCTTGTTGGTTTTTTAAAAAAAAAAGCTGCTTATGATAATATTGGCTTCTTATTCTTGTCATGTGTTTGAATAAAGGATGTTTTTATGAGGTGCAGGTAGAACGAGTGAGTAGTAAAGTTATTAATTCTACAAGTGTTCCACTACTAGAAGAGTCTGCATTGTTATTTGTGTTGTAATGGTATGCTGTCCATTGAAGCAGTTCCCCTGATGAAGAGAGAGAGGGCATTTCATAGCCTCGGGACAACACTATAGAAGTGCCATCTTTCATTGTCTTTGTGGTAACTTCAGGGGCGTTTAGAAGGCAAGCAGTAGAGGACCTAAGGGTATACGTGAGGGGACAGAAAATGATAGACAGTCTGGGATGCAGGGAGGACTCAAAACATTTAGTGACTTAAAAACCTTGAGGAGGACCGCATTATGTTGCAACCTGCAGCAAGACGTGCATTTTTGATGAAAAACTTAGTGCACACACAATCCCAGTCCCTCCTTTCTTTTATGTCTACTCCGGAACAGTCAAACAGTATTACAGAGAAGGCAAACACGGAGCAGACACCAGACACTTTCCACAAACATCTGTTGCAAAATTTCCAATTTACATATTACAACTGTTGGTGCATGTGATTTTGTTTGTTTTAGATTAATATTAATTCAAGTTTTTAGCTCGCACTTGATAGATTCGGCATGGATACAGCATTTGCAATCAAAGCATACCAGTCCTGCCCTTAGGGTGCCTGAAAACACCAGGAGTGTGAGAAAATGTTGATCGCTACACATAAATGTGTCAGAGCACACCGTGGACCTAAAAAAATGGATCATAACATCAACAAAATCTCAACTAAATGCCGATAGGAGAACTGTAGAATGGGTTTTTATTTTTGAGGCTGGAGCTTTGGTGTAAACAAATGTTTTGCATTTTGAGTAAATACGTAGTAAAGTGAATTCTGACTTTCTCCGACTGCTGCAGTAGTTTTTCCACTCAGTGTGTGCTGGTCACAGTCAATCAGTGGATGGTTTGCTTTTGCTTACATGTATGAAAGTTCTCACATACCTTACTGATGTTACACAACGTCCCCCAAAATCCCATGTGACGCTGTGTAATGAACAAAATTTCTCTTCACAAATATTGGTCCGGTTTCCTTGTCTCCAGAGGCTGACATTATCCGTCATTACTAAGGAGCATAAACAAAGATTGTGGACTTTGTGAATTGTGCTCCCTCAGCCATGTCGCCTCATTTCCCTCTTTGTTGTCCCAGTCTTTCATTTACTCCTGCCATCTCTGTATCACAAATATATACAACTGCATTGTTATTCTGCAGTAAAATGAGACAGTTTGTTCTTTCATCTCTTTTATGGCCTTCAGCATGTGCAAAATACATGCTGGAAGAAAACATTCAAATTGGAAGACTCTTGGTAAACAGACATTTATAAAGACATTTATAAAGCATTATGATGTTTTGTTTTTATTAAGAAAACAGATCATCATTATACACAACAGTAAATATTTAGAACTTATAAATTGGCTGTGCTTGTCTGCTAATGAAATTTGAGTAATGGTAGGTTGGGGGTGGGGTGGTTGTTGCGCGTGCTAATTTAGACACAGATCAAAGAAAGACCTCACCTCAACTTCGCTAGTTGCCTCAGGCTAATGCATCTCATCCCTAATTGAGGGGCTCCTTCGACTCACTGAGTCAATACAAATGGCTTTAATACTCAAACCATTATTATTTCAAATCATTGTCAAAAAGGCGGGATAAATTATCGACTTATGCCCTGTTAATGTCAGAAAATTGCGCCATGTATTTTGCGTTATTGACAGTTAGGAGCCGGAAAACAAGTAATGCTAATGACATAATCTGGCTGTGACCACACTGTCCCTCCCACCTCCTGCTGCCTCTCTCCTCTCCTGGCTTAGACAAACGGGCTCATCTGCACTGGATCATTTGCTGTCTCCTGATACGCTGTGGTTTATAGCCAATTATCTCTCGCGATCCATTATCGATTACAGTGTTATCTTTCTTGCATTGCTTAATCTTTTGGCACAGTAGCATAGCAGCTCACAGGGGGGCCAGGATACAAACTGCTTAGCGATGGGAACACTAGTTAAGATGGATGGGTGTTCATTTGCTTGTAAATGGGTGCAGTTTAAATTCAAACCGATTCCGACTGTATTCAGTGTCGGGAAAAGGGCAGGGTGGTTTTTGATTTGCACCGCTCCTTGTTAGGAATTAAAAACCACTACAACAGTCAATTTATCCAGTTAAGTGTTAAACCTCTGATATTAGTCTGAATGACTGATTTCCTTTGGGTTAATGTTGTTTGTGCTTGTGTCCCCGGCTTATATGTGAACCAGCAGGGGGATAATAATTTTGTATTGGGTGATCTGATTTTTTTTTGTGTGTCTGTGTTTTCTTTCTAGTTGGGTTAATAACTTCGGTCATGAGGGTCTTGGCCTTCTCCTGGACGCTCTGGAGAAGCTGCTGGACAAGAAACAGTGAGTTACCTCAAATGACATTACATCTCTGTGTTATTTCTCACCACCAGACTCTAATCACACAATCACAATATTTTCTATTCTCCTTTATTATTGTTTTTTTCTTTCCAGGCAAGAGAATATTGATAAACGGAACCAGCATAAACTCATCCAGTGCTTGAAGGCTTTCATGAACAATAAGGTTTGTATGCTAAAGAAAACATGATGCACTTACTTGATTCCTTCAGTAATGATCTCATTTGATGTCAGCATGCTGACATGAAATTATATTACTTGGATGCAAAACTAATTAATTACGTTGTAATTCAGTAGTTGAAGGTTAAATGTAGTTTACAAATAAGTAAAAAGCAAGGACAGACATCCCTCATAGCACACTTGAATTAAGCATTTGAGAGAGGTCTAATAGTAGCTCAGGTGACCAGGACTCTACACCTGATTTGAATCTGGACTCTGACAAGCTTGGGATAGTGGGAGAGTAAAGCAAAGCTAATTTTACCATTTCAAGCCCACGGTCTCACATCTTTTAATTATCCTTTTTGGGAAGGTCTGGCTCATTTCTCAAAAGTGGCACACATTTCAGGGATAGATGAACTATTGATATAGCTTCTCTTTGAGTTAATCCCCACATGCGGTCATCTCAACCCATTCCTTCAGTTGTGGGGAGACTAAAAGGTGCAGGAGACTATAAGTATTTGTCCCTATAGTCCTGTCCTGAATTGAATTAATTCATCATCCTCTCCATTTTCTCCCATGGCCTCGTTGTCCCTCCTTAAAAGAAAATTAAGGCTAACTATAACTTAGGTACATTAGCGCTTTTTTGTGTAATACATTTTTTATTTGGAAGGAAAGTTCTCTTTGAATGCAGATGCTCTCATTAATTTATACCCAACGGACCTATTCTCTGTCCCACCTCACCTCTTTTATTTCACAGTATGGACTGCAAAGGATCTTGGGAGATGAACGAAGCTTGTTGCTGTTGGCTCGAGCGATTGACCCCAAACAGACCAACATGATGACAGAGATTGTGAAAATTCTGTCTGCTTTCTGTATCATTGGAGAGGAAAACATGTAAGTTGAATTCATTTTATCCAGTCATTTGTCATAATCATATTCACACATGTATAAATAACCTACAAAATACCCAGTCCGTCACCTTCATAAAGTCTAAAATTAGATGAGTTTGTCACATTTTGGCGGTCAGTCATCAAGAGCAGTTCTCCAACAATCTCAAAGACATACAATCTGTTTGATACATTTATTTAGCAGACCTCAATTTGCTTGTTTTGGTGAGATGAGTCAGCTGACCCTATAAGTATTTTTGCCTGTGCTTTATTCAGAGTTGTTAGGCAGTGTTTTAGTATTCAAAATTGAGTGACAAAACTCATATTTTCTTATTTTTCTCATGGACACAGTGCAACACTGCGTTATACCGTCCTGACTGATGGCAAAAAATGAAACGTAGCTATGAAAGACACGCAGTCCCACTCTGCTATATTCTCACTTACTAATGTTTCTGAAATAGCAAGAGGAAAGGAGAAGGCTGCTTTCTGTAAACAATGCATTATTACTTTTGCTTCAGTATTTTCCCACTTGGTGACATGTACTCATACAGAAATTGCACCCTATGCGTTTATGTTTACCCACTGTGATATGGGTTTAACGGTATACAAAGCTTGTATTTATATTTGTATTTATTGAAAAGTGTGTAATTACTTTTAAGAATGCTTTTCTTACATCCTTACAGTTTAAGTGCTTAAAGGCTACATACTTTCACTAAAAGGACTCTAAGCTGTTTACTCTCAATTGTAAAATAAATAAATCTAAAATTGTCCATAATCACAAGTGCAACATATTCACAATTAACATCCAGACCAGAAAAAAAATTAAATAAATCCCCAAATTACATTATTTACCATAGCCTTCCTTTGGGGAAAATGTACCTAATGTACATGCAAAAATTGTGATATTCCATCCAGTTCACTATATTCCACATGCTTTATTCACATAGTCAACAAGAAACTAAACATTTTCACGAACCAGATTATGTTAAAAATAGCAGCACACTGTGCTGTGACCAACAGTCATGTGGCAGCTGAACTGGGTTGAAGTGCAGGCTGTGTGCACACGGAGCAGACAGGGGACAGACATGGAAACACATTTAGAAAGTTGTAAGGTATCATTAATATGTGTAGACACCATTTTATCTTGTGTGAGTAACACCTGTGGACATAAATGTACTTGTTGAGTCCAGGTTTTTTCTGTTTTTGTGAAGTAAATTCAAATATCATATCATATATCATATCATATCAATATTATAACTGTTTTATACTGCAAAAATATATTTTTGAGTTCTCTCTAGTTCTGGTTTTGCTGCTTCCATAGAAGGACTTTATATTGCATATTGGTACAATTATGAGAGGATAATAAAATGCTCTAATCTTCACTGCAGACATAGCCATCTTGGTCAAAGAAGAAAAGTGTCTGTGTTTATTGTGAGCTCCAAATGGCTTTGATTGACCAGTACAGTGTGGGCAGAAAGTCACAGGAATTCTGATTAAAAAGCAAACTCAGCATGTACCTGTTTAGTAAAATTGGCACAGTGTCTGCCCAGTTTAACTCTGCTAGCATTTTTTTGCCTGAAGGACACCAACTGGTACACTGTCAAAATGTTGTGGGAGCAGCTTTTGCTTTACAATTTCCTGCCCAAGGAGTGCATATACATATATGTAGATATAAATACACGTCCGACACTAATTGTTCGGCTCACAAGTTGTACCGCTCCAAAGGAAATTTCATACCGAACTGAATGTTGCATACCGAACAGTTCAGGATGGAAAGGCATCTATCGCTACACCCCTACACTGTGAGCATATGCTGCATTTACACATGACTTCAGACAGTGCAGAAATGTGTTGGGTCACATGGTGAGATGATACAGTTTAGTCTCTTTTAATGTGTTGAACTCAGCGTAGTTTGCCACAGACACAACCTGGCTGACAGCTTATAAATTGGATTTAGGGGAGTGTTTTTTATTGTTTCCCACAGGGCCAGACTGGAATAACAATGGCACTTCAAAGTCAGTCTGTATGCAGTGGTGGAAATAAACAAACCCACAAATTCTGTTGGAGAAGCTGAGTTCAGCAATGTGTCTCATATCTCTGACCATCTAAATAGGCCTCTGTGCTTGTAGCTCTGACCCTGACTATGCACGGTTTCCAAAACGGTTTTTAAGAATTATATTCAGTAACTGCTCCTAAAAATGCATATCCATCCGCTGAATATGTATATGTCCGTTAAACAGATGTTTACTCTAAAGTAAGCCTGTATGTATCACCAGATGGTACATACAAAGAACTGAAATGAATATTGCATTATATTATTTTTTCATATTTTTGCAATACTTTTATGGTCTTTAAACATCTGGGTGTCGAGCACTTTCATTTAACAGCATAAATCTATGCAAATACATCTAAAATGTTTAGTGTAACTGCATGGGGTGCTTGTTCCTTAATGGACCTTTTTTTCACAGGAAGCACTTTTATGTTTCATAGCAGGAAAAACACGTGATGGTATGACGGTTAGCAGTGACTCCGTTCCATTCAAGTAATCCATTAAAGGATGCTATTGAGCCTGGATGCACAATGCCTGGACACTGATAAAACTATAAAGACCCTGCCTTCATTGTTTCTGATTAATTACAGTAATGCTTTTCCCTACTTTGACATGTCAAAATGTCTGCTGTAGAAAGAGATCTTAAAAAATCCCAACATTAGGCTACATAGCAAAACCCACTGAAGCCTCCAGAGCTGTTATGGATCTAAATGGTGTCTTAACAGGTTATTACTTTGATGGAAGTTCTATTTCTTTGGGAAGTTAAAATACAGACAACTAATCACAGTTTGACTCAAATCGTTTTAGTTAATGTAGATCATCGCTGAAGTGAGCTCGACTCGATTCAATCATGACTTTTGCAGATAGATGCACTTGAGTCTTTATATAATCAATGCATTGATGCAGTGAATGAATAATTAGACCCATGTTCTGTTCAGTCACCACTTCAACACACAGACACAGACTTGCTGCTTGCATACAAACACACACACCACTACTATTTTGAGCCGATACCGGGTGTAGAGCTAATTCAAACGCTCTCTTTCTCTCTCTCAGTCTCTCAGTTTCTCTCTCTCTCTCTCTCTCTCTCTCTCTCTCTCTCTCTCTTTCTCTCTTTCCTCACTCAAAGTATTCGAGATGTGTTCAAGTAAACACGGAGATCTTTGCCATGATCTTAGCCTTGCATTAAAATGTCCGCATCCTGTAGAAATGACAGCCAAAGGAGCTGAGGTGTCACTTTTTTCGCTCAGAAACTTCTCCGCCAACCAGTGTGGTGACGCTGGCTCATGTTCAACACCCACTTCAGCTGACAGCATCAAAAGGGAACACGACAAGTTAAGCAGATCTATCTTGGCTGTTTTGAAGCGTCGTCTGAACTGGCTTTAAAGCTGCTCAGTATGCAGCTCCCTGTGTGTGTCTGTGACTTTATAACCTCTATCACAGAGCGTGGCCCTTTCATTTATCTCCATGTCAGGATTACTTCGCATATAGAGTCTTCCTGGTCGAGCATATGATCTCTCTCGCTATCAAATCAACTTCTGGTGTTTTTTTTTCAACTTTAAAGTGTTTTTTTTTTCTTCGGATTGTTTCATGGTAATAAAAGTGGAAACAACAGCTTTAGATGGCATGTGTGATTACACATGTTTGCGCACGAATAAACTGCCGTTTTCACATTCGGTCTACTGCGATTTCTTATTTTATTCCTTAACTTATTTATTGGAACAGCAAGGGGAACTTGTAGATCAGGCTAAGAGCTCTTTTGTACTCCTGAGAGCGGGACCGTTGAGGATAGAGGAGCTGTTCCGTTTCTCAACTTATGAATTTTAAAATAGCCACTATGGCCTTGCAGTGAAAGAGACCACCTGCTGCCAATTATTGCGCACGCATATTGTAAATCACTGCTCGCGTAGCTGCTCATAAGGCATCAATTTACTTTTATTGCAGTCCTGTGTGTGTGTTTATGTGTAGCACTGAATTCCTCTTTCATTCACAATTTAGAGGTTGAATTTGTCCAACGCGCTATTAAGCCGGGCTGCCTTGAGCCCTTGCGAGTACTCTAATTTGCTTACTTTCTCAATAGGTGTGTTTGAACATTAGTCTGGCAGCCGCTGCAATAATTTGCACCCTTTCTCACCTATCCAAATACACTCTACCACAGTTGCTTTGACAACTGAACACATTTGCAGTAAAACCCTGTTGTTGTCTTTGCATCACCTTAGTAACCGCAAGATGAAGCCAAAATTGGATACTGCGGCAATAATTGACTCGATTGCATACAAAGAGATGGAAAGCAGTAGCATTTGTCAGAGTGACCAAAGACCGGCCGAGTAAATGTCCACACCAACACATAGGGGGAGATAAGATGCTTGGCGTTTGAGCTGAAAATTGTGAGTTAATGTCCTGTCAGTGAGGTGATAAAAGTGTTTGTTGACTTTTGTGTTTGCCTGCTCCCCGTTCTCTGTTTTCTTCCAGCCTGGATAAGATTCTAGCTGCCATGACAATTGCTGCAGAGAGGAACAATAAAGAGAGATTTGCTCCAATTGTGGAAGGACTGGAGAACCACGAGGCCCAGCAGCTCCAGGTCAGGGGACACACGACACACACGTACACACACACACACACACACACAGTGAAAGGGAGAGAGAAAAAGCAAGAGAAAACTCTTAACATCACTCCTTAATATTCAGCATACAGTCATTGCTGCCCTTTTATTTGATTATTTCCATTGATGGATAAAAGTGACCTTCATGGCTTGGTGGCTGATCAAATATCCAGTACAGTAACCACTGATACTCTACAGCAGACTGTCGTGTCGTGGTACAATTTGACTGTAATTTTCAGGATGTCGTACACACCAATTCAAACTATGCAAACTCTAAAAAAGAAGCTCGCAACCGATTACCAAAAGCAGGTGTTTTGCCGTGTACGGCGGACAGAAACTTGGCACAGTGTCACTCACCCAAATTCTGTTTTTGTCATTAGGATCATGTTTGATGCAGGCAAATTGACAGTTATGCCACTCAGGGAACTATTGTACCTCCACCTCAGCTGTCCTTATATGTTTTTTGTTTTTTTTCTCTCTTCCTGTGCTTTTGTGTCCACTTGTCAACCTTACATCACCTCCAGCACATTATGGGATGTAATCGCAGGGACGTTGAAATGCACTCAGAGCTCCATTGCCGCCGCTTTAAACAAAAACACCTGCTTCGTTGTGCGCCTCTTCTGAATCCACCCGTTCTTTTTGGGAACACCAGAAAACTTATAATGATAAAGAAAAAAAAACGATGTTGAGTTCCCTTCATGATTTTTTGCCTCCCTTCTTTCTTTCTCGCATTTTTCTTTTCCTTTCACTGCCATACTCAATTTTTTTTCTCACATCCTACAAATGCTTCACCTTGCTTTTTTCCATGTTGCTGTCAAGTTGGGTCTCATAGGACTCAGTGTGAAAGGGCAACTAAAACACCATACCTCTCCTCATTTTCGCTAGTATTCTCCAGCAGCAGGAAGAAAAAAAAACACAACTATATAACGGCAATAACAACACCACTTAAAACATGTTTTTGGGAAGCCGAATGCAGGGAATTACTTAAGGAATTACTTTAGCTGCAGGGATTGAGAAGTCATGAAGGAAAAGTCATGAAGGAAACTGATGAGGCGGACGGTGGAAGAGAAAGTAGATATTCTTTTATTAGGAGGCTGTTGTTTTTCCTTTAAATTTTGCCGTTAATGAAATGAAGCCCTGCTAATTGTGAAGTAAATTAAAATGCTTTGCTGATGCAGGGGGTTCCAGGAAATTAATAGACTTTTTATCCAAAACCTGTGATGGGCTACAGAACTACACTTTGCTAATGTGATTAAAATGTGTTTTACCGTGGTTCAGGCTATGCTTGTCTACCGAGCACGAGGGAAACTCTGCATTTCAACTTTAAAACCGTCCCGGCAGTGCCACTTTTAATTACGATGTTTGGAAGCTCCCCTACCCCCCCTCATGGCACCACTGCAGCTCTCTAAACCTAATACAGATAATGCACCCACCCCCAGCTTGACCGGTTCCTACTCTACAATACATGACTGAGGTATGTTTGAGGTGCTTGATGTAACTATGAATCTGTATGCAGGAGAAGAGAAAGAATTTTTCATGAGCTCCATGGCTTTCTTCACTCAGATAAATTCTGTGAAGATTTGGTGGAGTTTCTTTTATGTATCTGGCCTCTGGTGGATGCAGTAAAATGTCAGGATTTCAGTGCACAGATCTTATTTCGAGGCCCTCAAGCTTTTCTCAAACTTCCATGTTTCTGGTACATGGCACTGGTGACACATACTCAGTTGCGGTGCATCTTTTACTGCAACAAGCTTGTGCTCTCCCAAGGGAAAATACACTATCTTATCTGTATCGCATAACAGCATGCATTTTTTTTCTCTCTCAAAACTGGCTAACAAACACGCTTGTTGTACTGTTGCTACAGTAACAAAACCTAATGCTCTTCACTCCGGGTCGCTTTTGCATTGCTTTTCTCAAGGCTAAAATGCAAGAAAAACAAAAAAAAAGACAATTGGGTTGAATGGTTTGTATTGTTTTGATTGTAACTCTAACAATATATGATTTAAAATGAGTTGTATAAACATAAACATTAGAACAACAAGTACAAATAAGTAATAAGTAGTTTGTTGTGTTCAGGTGACATTACGTGGAGCGATCGCTTGCTGCAGATTGATTTGCTTTCCTGCTGGTGTGTCTGTTTGTTTTAATGTGGGCAAACTAAACAGCATTTTTAACCCTGAAAAATAATGAAACAGACTCAGGAAACCACACAGAATCAGCATTGTTGTGACTCTTATTAATAACGCATACAAGCCAAGAGTACAGGGTCAAGGTTTCAGTCGGCAGCGTTTCACATTGTCCATGGGAATCCTTCAGCCCAGTATCGATTGTCTGTCCAAGGAAAACTGTCTTATCCTCGGCTCGCTCCCCTGAAACACCTTACAGCTCATTATAATTCATCAGCGATTTCCTCTTAACCCTCCCTCCTCCAACCACCCATCGCACACACACCCCTACCACACACATACACACACAAGCTGAGGCTTTTTCTACACCAATAAATCCATTAATAATGCACATTTAGTCGATAGACACAGCAGACCTGTACTTTTTCCCATCTTTCGTCAAGTCTCTTTCTTTCTTTACACCTTTTCCTCTCATCCTTGCATAATAATTTTGGTTTTGGAAAAAAAACTAAACCTTAACACCAAATGATCACTCCAAAATGAACAATGATACCACAGAGACTAAACAT